CACACCAGCATGTCACACACCAGCATGTCACGCACCAGCATGTCACGCACCAGCATATCACGCACCAGCATGTCACGCACCAGCATGTCACACACTAGCATGTCACACGAGCTTGTCACACACGAGCTTGTCGAACACCAGCCTGTCGCACACTGGCATGTCACCAGAATGTCACACAGCAGCATGTCACACAGGAGAATGTCAAGCACACCAATGTCACACAACGGAATGTCGTTCACCCGAATGTCGCACACCAGAATGTGAGACAGCAGAGTGTGACTAGGATCGCCTCCATCCACTGTCGAGCACGTGCTCTCTTTGTTGCTTGGTAGAATGTGACCCGTTGGACATGGGAGGGAAGGCTGGAGGACCAGGCAAGGGGGGAAGGGGTGGCTGCTTGGAGGGGTCCGTACAGCTCAAGATCGCGATTATGCTTTTCATTTGTTGTTCTGCAGCTGCAGTGAAGGGATCGTGACGGTTTTTCAACTTTTTTTTTTTTTTTTTTTTTTTTTTCTCGTATGTACCACGGAGATTGGTCCAGATAGCACTTTGCCCCTGATGCTACATGAGGCCAAATGGGGATTGAATAATTGAACCCATGACCTCCGGATGCTACTGGCTGACCCCTGTCCTGTATCGCCCACCTGCTGTAGCAGCTATCCCACGTGCTGGTGGGTGCAGGCCCGGCATCTTCCCTTGTTGGAGGCGCGAACACGAATGTGGCTGCTAGGGGTGACCCGTAATACTGATAATAAAAGAGGCCTGGAGGCCGTCCTGTCCAGACTCGACAGGTAATTGAATTGGTTGGGCTTAAAACAATCAGCTTCAAAAAAGAAAAAAAGGAAGCCTGGTACACCTGGGGCCTTGTACATGTCGAATAATTTGCATTCCGTGGTAGTTGGGTACAAGGACAATTTGGAAGGTACCGATCGCGGCCTGGGCATAGCGATAATTCATGCAGGGCTTTCTCAGGGCACAACTGCAAGATGTGCGCTTTTCTGGGTACAATGCCAATATTCCGGTTTTTTTTTTTTTTTTTTTTTTTTTTTCCCGTGAGCGCTTGAAATTTGCTTAGCTGGATAAAATTTCATATTTGGAATGTCTGCCTCTTTGTTTGAAAAAATACTTTTGTTGAAATAAAATAATTCTTGAACACCTTGTGTTTTCAACTTTCCCTATTTGGAAACCAGAGCCATCTGTAACACTCTTTATTTTGCCAACTTTCCATATTTAGAAACAGGACTGAGAACTTGTGAAATCATCTTCTTCTTCAAAAAAAATAAATATATATATATATATTCTTGCAATTCTCGGCGGTCAACGAAACTAACTTTGCCTCAACTGCTGTTTTTGTTTGTGTTTTTGTTTTTTTTTGTTTGTTTGTTTGTTTGGATGTCTGTTGCCTCCACGTCTTATTTTTTTCCGTCTTTCCTGGTTTAAAAATTTCTTTCCCTTTTCTCCATTTGTTGGTGTGTTTTCCTTGATTTTTCTCAAAAAAAGAAAACAAAAAAAAAACTGTTCTTTTGTCCATTGGGATTGGGAATGACAGTTGCTATTATCTCTGTAGATAGGTGAGATAGAGAGCTGTTTGTGTGTCTGGGAGAGGGAGAGGGAGTGGGAGCGGGAGCGAGAGAGAAGAGAGGGCAGAACCTGAAAGCGGAATAAACATGGCTTCCGCGGTGCTGGCCTCTGCGGCGAGCAGTGTTTTCGCAGGACTGTCCATCAGAGGCACGGAGGTACTTCGCCTGCAGTCGTCAGGTGCCAGCAGCACTTCAGAATCGCTTGACGTCAGATGCCTGCGCGTCGATATGGCGCATCATCCGCAGAAGAAGGGGACCGCTCATCACCGTAAGACGCGTCCGAAGAAACTGCAGCCTTACGACCGGAACCGCAAACCAGCGGTGTACGAACCTCTTCCCCCCGCGCCGCCATTGTATGCCATTGATGTGGAAGGCATGGAGGAAAGAGAGAGAGAGAAGGAACTGGCTATGGCAGGTCAGGCTGCAGCACAGTAAAGTTGTTGAGGGTGTTGAATCCGTCGTGAGTTTGCGACGGGTTTATACCAGGTTTGCACCGGGTTTGGACCAGGTTTCTTTCAGATTTGGACCAGGTTTGTTCAGGTTTGCCCTCGGTCTGTGTCAAGGTTAGACCTGGGCTGTTCCGGGTTTGTACCGTGTTCTCGGGTCAGGGTTTGGACCAGGTTGGACCAGGTTTGGACCAGGTTTGTTTCAGATTTGCATTGGGTTTGGACCGGATTTAGACCAGGTTTGTTTCAGATTTGGACCAGGTTTGTTCAGGTTTGTCGCAGGTCTGTGTCAGGTTTAGACCAGGGCTGTGCCNTTTGTTTCAGATTTGGACCAGGTTTGTTCAGGTTTGTCGCAGGTCTGTGTCAGGTTTAGACCAGGGCTGTGCCGGGTTTGTACCGTGTGTCGAATCAGGCTTATACCAGGCTGGTTCCAGGTCTGCACCAGGTTTGGACCAGGTTTGTTCCAGGTTTGTTGCTGGTTTTCGTCAGGTCTGAATCAGGTTTTCACTGGGGTTGTTCCAGGCTTGTGCGGAATTTGTACTAAGTTTATACCAGGTTTTCTATGAGGTTTACCCCTGGTTTGTTTCAGGTTTCTTTGCGGTTTAACCCTGGTTTGTTCCATGTTTCAATGAGGTTTAACCCTGGTCCGTTCCAGATATGGACCAGGTTTGTTTGAGGGGTTTGTGCCAGGTCTGCGTCTCTAGACCCAGGTTCTGCCAGGCTTTCTACCAGGACGCTGGACCCGTTTTCCAGCAGGTGCTGCTCCCCACCAATAGATGGAGCCCCTCTTCAGGTGCTAGTGGTGTCTGCTCTTACCAGCACCACTATCACTGGAAGGGGGTTATTAAAAAAAAAGAAAAAAAATCTGACCAGGTTGGTTAACAGGTCTGCACCAGGTTGGGACTAGCTTTGCACCTGGTTTGCACTGCGTTGGCCAGTGACCTAAATAGTAAAACTGGTCCACCAGGTTTGTAGCATGTTTGTACCAGGTTTGTAATATGTTTGTACCAGGTTTGAGCCCAGTTTGTACCAAGTTTGAACTCGGTTTGTACCAGGTTTGCAGGGTTTTTCGCACTTTCCCTCCCTTCCACTTTTTTCTCCAATTGAGCTTTGATGCCTGCTGGCCTTCCATGTGTGGAGGCTTAATTACGCACATGCCTACCCATGTTCAATCCATCGATGATCAATCCAGGTTCAATCCTGGTACAAACCTGCTACAAACCTGGTACAAACTGGGGTTGAGAGTTCCAACAGTGTTTCCCCTACCGCTCGTCACCTGAAGAGACTGGCCGGTCGTTATTTTTGCCGCATCTGGACGGAAAATTGCACCAAATACAGCGATAATGACTGGACGTTCTATTCGGGTGAAGACGACGCTCGAGTACTCAGGAGCACAGGTGTTCGGTATCTCTTTCTTTTGTTTTGTTTTCCTGACAGGTGTTGGATATCATATACCCTTGTGGACAACTGTTGCGCTTTTCTTGTAGAAAATCGAAGTCACGGAATGCGCACGCTTGGGCTTTTGGGCATGCATGTGACCTTAATCGTGGTCAGATTCACTTATGAAAGCGGTAGTGTGCATCCAAGCTGAGTCGTCAAAACTGATGGCAGAGTACGAATAGGTAAACGTATGCTTAACACGTAGTATACCTGTTGTAAACCTTTTGTAACCATCGGTAAGCATATGGTGAACCTATGGTTAACCTGTGGTTACTGCGGTAACCTGTGGCTAACCTGAGGTTACTGTGGTAACCTATGGCTAACCTGTGGTTACTCTGGTAGCCTATGGTAAACCTATGGTAAACCTGTGGTAAACCTGTGGTAAAATACCTGTGGTAAACCTACCTGTGGTAAACCTGTGGTAAACGTGTGGTAAACCTGTGGTAAAACTACAACGAACCTGTACCTGTGGTAAACCTGTGG